GTTACTGCAGTGACAAAGTGTTGTGATAAAGTGTTGTAGGAAAAGTGTTATGTTTAGTGCTTTAAGGGATACATTCACTATATGGAGGCAGAATCGCATACGAAACGAATTTTAATTGTAAGTACACGTTTAAAAGTTTTTAGACAGCCGGGAGAGTTTGTCATAGATAATTTTTTGATGAGTGTATAAAATGTTCGGGTGTATTTGAATTTTCATGAGCATTGATTAATATTGTTATCATACAAGTATTAAATTATATTTCACTACAAGTTCTGAAAGTAAACCATTTCAGGGCAGGATAGTATAAGCTGTAAGATATTGTTATCGAGCGAAGCGAAGTCAGAGCGGAACGCGGAAAACAGCTATCAAGCCCCCAAGCGAATCTTTCGTTGCAATACTTTTTTTAACGATACTTTTCATCACGATGTAAATAATCTCACAAAAGCTTCTGAAAAAAATGTTTTGAACATTATAGTTATTCCATTAAATTTAGCATAGGACGGTTTCACAATAAATTTGAAAGCCAGGTTTTCAACAATATTTTCGTAAGAAAGGAGCATACTAGTGCTTCTATCGAGCGAAACGGGAACTTCGTTTGTTGGGGCAAGAAAATTAATGGATGGACAAATAATTTTATGATAGACTGGACCCATTCAGTTAACATGTAACTTTAGGTTATGTAATCCCAGACATTGAAATCACCAATACCGAAAAGCGAGAGAGTTAAGTTAAGAGATGTACTGTATAGATAAAAACAGAGTATTCTGCAGTCGTCAGTCAGACATTGGTTTACAAAGTTTATGCTTTTACATAACCTACCATAACTAAGAATTCTACGTAGTAATATAGGTACTGAAATAATTTGTAAAATAGATTAATTCAGACACGTTGAAATCTATACAATCATCTATACGATACTTTTCATCACGATGTAAATAATCTCACAAAAGCTTCTAAGAAAAATGTTTTGAACATTATAGTTATTCCATTAAATTTAGCATAGGACGGTTTCACAATAAATTTGAAAGCCAGGTTTTCAACAATATTTTCGTAAGAAAGGAGCATACTAGTGCTCCTATCGAGCGAAACGGGAACTTCGTTTGTTGGGGCAAGAAAATTAATGGATGGACAAATAATAGAACATTCTATACAATCATTCACTATTTCTTTTCTTTCCACCCACGACATGTATTACGTTCATAGAGGGCCTAACTTTTTTCCCAAACAACTTCTTTTCCTTTTCCTTTATAAAACACCTGTCACACATTTATAACCTAATCATCAATAAGCCACATCTAGCAGCTAGTAGAATATACGAATTATGCTTCATTCATAACCTAAATACTCTTAAATCTCAGTTCAAATGAAGTTAAAAGGTCCAAAGTCTAATATATACTTGAAGTTAGTATAGACACGTGATACCCCTCTAGTGCAAACTGTGATCTTTAGGGGAAGGGAGGGGAGGGTGTCACTAATAAAATGTCAACACCCCCCAGACACAATCGTTTAATGGGCATTACGAAATCCCTAGCCTATACTCACATAGGGGGGTTCACTTACTAACTTCACTCATTGTACTTGTAGATTTCAGGGAAAAATATCGTTGAACAATGTGACACAAAAATGTGTAAAAGATGAAATTATGATTCAGGAGTTTTAGCTGTTTATTTTGTAGAGTAAGTTCCCGAGGGCTAGGAATAGGCTTTAAGTTCGCGATGGTTTTTTGTATAGACAAAATAGTATAAGAAATGTATTTAAATATACATATGCTTGTCTGAGTTTTTATAGCTTCACAGCCTATGAATTTGCAAGAAACCACAAGAAATGCAATCAAATCGTATTCCCAAGTAAATAATATTTGATGAACACGTTCTTTCTTATCTGTTTTCTCAAAACATCGAATTTGACCAAAAAACTAGTTGAATTGCTACGCATAGCAACAAAAATATCCCCTTAGCACATAACAATTTCCTCACAAGTATACTTACACATATACAAGTGAGTCAGTTGATCATCCCTAATTTTCATCATTGGTTTGTTAACCTAAAATACTCCTTGACTCCAAATAGATTATCAACTAAGCAACGCAGTATTTCCTTACAAATCACCTATACAGCGTGAGTCAACCGGAAACCCGTATTTTCGTGATCGATTTGTTTATTGAAAATATTCCCCGAACCGATTATCAATCTAAAGGACGCGGTAGTCAGCAAGGGTTAGGAGGGAGGGAGCCATCGGTCATGTTTGTTTTCAATTTTTGACGACGGGTGGCAACAGCAAGTCAGTTTGTTTTGTTTGTGCTAGCCTCGAGCTCTCGCCGAAATACCACGTCGTCAGATACAAATAAACCACCCCCGTCAGTCCAGTGTAAACAAAGCAATCGAAACTTTTACGTTTGAATGGTTTTTGTTGCTTTTCGCCATTAGATAATAATGTAATACGTTGAACCATTTAGTGTGTAGCATCTTTGAGGCATTTCCTAAGTTGATTACAATAGTCCAATCGGCTTGTGGGGGAATTTAACATTATTTTATGAGTGTCAAGGTATACAAAATATAAGGTCAAATAATTTACATATATTTATCCGTCGGGTTGCAATTCATTGTTATTAAATGTTCAACTATTTGAAAATTCTTCTTATCGACCAGATGAATTGCATACACTGTACCTGTCAGTATTAACACAATCGAAAATTTATCCAAAAAGGAAACAAATGCAACGTGTTTCAAGTAGATTTGAATTGCAGCCCTATTAAATAAAATAGCTAGTAATCTGCACGGGTTGAAATGTTTTATAAAATGTGATTAACGGCTAGAGAGGCATGTCGCGTGCTGTAGTGAGGGAGAATGTGGGGGGAGACCAGTCAATGATTGATTATTGCAAAACAATCCACCTCCCACACCGCCACCGGGGCTTGAAGCCCTCAAATACTTGACTGAGCCAGCCATGGTCATTACTACAAAGAGTCACCTGATATCAGTTGTAGATTAAAATCTTCAAATGAGACAAACTTCAGTCATCACGATCAAATCATCAAATGAGCCAGTCTTGGTCATAACGATCAACAAGAGCCATGTGTTGTCACTTATATGCTCAAATCATCAACTGAGCCAGTCTTGGTCATAACGATCAACAAGAGCCATGTGTTGTCATTTATATGCTCAAATCATCAACTGAGCCAGTCTTGGTCATAACGATCAACAAGAGCCATGTGTTGTCACTTATATGCTCAAATCATCAACTGAGCCAGTCTTCGTCATAACGATCAACAAGAGCCATGTGTTGTCACTTATATGCTCAAATCATCAACTGAGCCAGTCTTCGTCATCACGATCAACAAGAGCCATGTGTTGTCACTTATATGCTCAAATCATCAACTGAGCCAGTCTTCGTCATCACGATCAACAAGAGCCATGTGTTGTCACTTATATGCTCAAATCATCAACTGAGACAGTCTTCGTCATCACGATCAACAAGAGCCATGTGTTGTCACTTATATGCCAAAATCATCAACTGAGCCAGTCTTCGTCATCACGATCAACAAGAGCCATGTGTTGTCACTTATATGCTCAAATCATCAACTGAGCCAGTCGTGGTTATCACGATCAACATCAAAGAACCAATTGTTATCACTTATATGCTCAAATCATCAACTGAGCCAGTCGTGGTTATCACGATCAACATCAAAGAACCAATTGTTATCACTTATATGCTCAAATCATCAACTGAGCCAGTCGTGGTTATCACGATCATCATCAAAGAACCAATTGTTATCACTTAAATGCTCAAATCATCAACTGAGCCAGTCGTGGTTATCACGATCAACATCAAAGAACCAATTGTTATCACTTATATGCTCAAATCATCAACTGAGCCAGTCGTGGTTATCACGATCAACATCAAAGAACCAATTGTTATCACTTATATGCTCAAATCATCAACTGAGCCAGTCCTGGTGATCACAATCAACACCAAAGAGCCACGTGCTATCACTTAAATGCTTAAATCATCAACTAAGCCAGTCTTGGCCATCACGATCAACACCAAAGAGCCACGTGCTATCACTTAAATGCTTAAATCATCAAATGAGCCAGTCTTGGTCATCACGATCAACACCAAAGAACACCGTGTTATCCACTCTTATGCTCAAATGATCAAATGAGCCAGTCTTGGCCATCACGATCAACACCAAAGAGCCACGTGCTATCACTTAAATGCTTAAATCATCAAATGAGCCAGTCTTGGTCATCACGATCAACACCAAAGAACACCGTGTTATCCACTCTTATGCTCAAATGATCAAATGAGCCAGTCTTGGTCATTACGATCAACACCAAAGAGCCACGTGATATCACTTATGCTGAAATAATCAACTGAGCCAGACAGAGTCATGGTGATTGTCCCATTTCTATTCTTTTCTTTTCTATTCTATTATATCGGTATGACAGATATACACAGCTAAAAATAACAGCAAATATTTATCATAATCTATTTCACAAAATTTGTTTTTATATCGGAATGAAATGTATAATTATTGTGAAAGTGGAAGTTGCAGTTACAGTTGCAGTGGAAGTATGTAACTGTTGAAGCTACCTGTATTTATGTTATTGTTCCTAATCAAAACCAACGTTAATATTTTATTTTACGCAAACTTCATCCCTAGTATTAGTTTCTTGCGTCTTTCATAAACACTCCTCTTAAAAAACATTCTGTATTAGATTTTATTACAGTACGGTTGTTTTATTCAAATAAAACTGGTTTAAAAACTGGATAAGGAACAATCAGTATTAATATTCAGCTCTTGAAACTGTAATTAATATTTTAAATGGTAATGTAACAACATTTTGTATGCATATAAGTTCTTTGAGGGCTTCAAATACTTTACAGTGCCTCTAGAGGGTTTTAGTGAATGGCCGATTTTATCGTTAGTTTTTTTACTAACTTTTGCTTCATATGGAAGCATTGCATGATATTGCTGACAGTTTTTTTTTGTTTTTCAGGTGTGTTTGACACCCCATGTGGCCTAACAGTCTGTCAGGAGGGTAAGTAAATCAGCTGATTTGTATACGAAATTAATTTTGTCAATATTTGATAATAATATTTGTGAATTTTTACCCAAAAGCCATGTACATAATTATTTTTTAGTAAATAGATTAGTGTATAGCGGACTGCTAATTGGCACACATTTAAGTTTTAATTTTCGTTATTTGCTATTGTTTCACTTGTAAATGACTTATATGACATAACATGCATCAGTTGCATCGAGAACAATTTTGTGTTAGTATTTTGAATTTTAGAAAATACATCTTCCAAGAAATTACCAGGTAAAATTTATAATAGTATGATTCCCCTAAAAGTTGGTGGATCTCTTTAGAATGAATAATTTTCCCTCATTGAAACATGTATAAAGCAATAATGATAAGGTTTGAAAAAGGTAGATATTTTGTTTTACAACAAGAACAACATCGTAGCAATAGTGTTGTTTCGAACAACCATATTAAAACATTGAAATCTAACATGATTCAAACCGACCCTCTTTTATAATGTCTTAGTTCATTGATGCGTCTTGCTCATGATAGAAAATGTTTATGCTTGATGTATAGAATTTATAACAGTAGCCTTGGTACAATATTGAATAAATGAAACTTAATTTATTTTCAAGTGAAAAAAAAAATGTAAATGCAAGTCAAATTCAGCATTTACTGAATGGAGCATTATAGAGTTCCCTGCTTGTTGTTTTTGTCAAATTTGTTAAAGATACACTGATTTTTTTTCTACTACACAAAATTTGTTCTAAACAATTTCCCAATGTAAAACTGTAGAACTTATTTCAATTTGTAAATAAATTTTGTGGTTGAACATTTTGCCATCTTATATTTAGTGGTTTAAAATAACACTATTCCTCTCAAACAAATTTGTCTAGTAACTTAACATTCATGGATTTACCTAACATTATAAATTTGTTTGCAATGTGTACATTGCCACAAGTTTTCAGTCTATTTAAAAATACTTTCAACTATAATATAGTTTCGTGAGAATGACTAGATTAAATTACACAAGAAAGTTTAGCTTACCTTCATGGTGGAAGGCACTCGGATTGCAAACACCATTTTACCATTTAGAAAAATTATAAAAACATAATCAAATCAAAACAAATTGTACTTATATGGCAATACAATCAGCTGTTTTTTGTTTGCAATCTGGGTGACGTCAACATATGACGGGAATAGCATACCTATGTGTTTTCCATCCAACGTGGCTTAGCTTTATGTGTTCATACCAATAATAATCAGTCCAACTGTAGTGAAATGACTTACCGATGGCTCGCTACGGGTGTTTAATCACTCGTATTCACATTATATATGTTTATGCACTAAGTGACATTTAGGTGATTAGATCATTGATCACGTGATCCCTAGCTTTGGCGGGAAAACGCGACACTTTCAAACAGCTGATCTGATCACCATTAGCTTCCCCACCTCTCTACTCAGCCGTGTTGCGTTTTTATTCCATTTTATTCCAGTTCCTAAGCTTTTACATTCCATTTGAATCATTTGATTGACAGTTTCTGTCGACTTTTTGCTTTGTGATGCTCTTGTGTCTGCTTAGGAAGAAGAAAAACACAACTTACTAATAATTGAGAAAGTGTTGGAAGAAGTAGAAGTATTCATAGATATTCACTTAACGAATAGTAAAATACTTCTGTCACAGAAAACCTGTTTTATCAATTGTTATTTAAACAAACGAGTACTTAGGGTTGCTGCTTCGAGTAACACGAAGATCTTTTATAGAAAAAAAATATCTACATTAAAATAAAGTAATTCGCTTTTACCAACTACAATTTATAAAGATGCAAAATACACAAGCAATCGACAGCAATTTATTCAATATCCATGAAATAACATGAGTGACAGTGAAGAGCACTTAGCACTTTCAATATATTGGTAACTAATAGGGGTGAAATAAAAATTTAATATAAATCCCACTAATTACTATGGTTTAAGCAGTTTTTAATTTCAAAAAAATATTCAGTGCAATTTTTGATGGGCTTATAACTAAAATTGATTTATTTCAAAATAACAGTCTCATACTTTCCTTCAGGGAATTTTGGCGTGATTAGTGTTCAACGTGTAATACATTTGTGTCAAAATTTTTACTAGTTTAATACAATTTGGGCCATTTTCTAGAACATCGAAAGCTTTTAAACAGTTATTTATATCCCTTTTATCAACCATTACCACAATCATCACTACACTACATCCCTTAGAAGACTATGATTTCAACACTGAAGATGATGCTCAACATTATTTACATCAAAATTACCCTACTCATGTAAATGCTGCCGATGGTTTTTTACTAGTGTGCCCTTCATCACATTTTTCTTTCATTATTAACCATTTCCACGAACACCAATCTACCGTGTCCATCAGAAGAGGTTGGCGTGAATACTGAAGATTATTCCAAAATATTCCAAATTTTAGGAAAAGAGATTTTGCAACCCCAAACTGTGTAAACTTTGTAGAGGACTTGACCTCTATTGAACCTGTCAAGTACGGCCCCCACTGGCGAGCATATTACAGCACACCCCACATGTGGCTTGCATGCGATGCGGCGTACTTTAATATTTCCGGATTTGTGGATCCATTCTCATAGAATCAAACACTTCATCGGCTGGCACAATGCTGCCAAATGTTCGACTCTCTCGCTCTCTCTCCCTCTCCCCCTTGCTCTCCATTGTACCATTGTTGCCTCTCTGCCACCCCTCCCCACAACCCTTCAGTGCTTCCCGAATGTGATATTCGCAACCGATCCCAAAGAGGTTTCTAAATATGAAATCTCCCTCTGAATTTTCGTCATGGAAAGAAGTGATTTTGAGTATATGATTAAGAATGTGCTGTGCTGTAGGTGTTTTTAGTTTTTAGTTTCAAAGATTTTCTATCAAATAAGTAATGTTCGGCTTGTTGAATCGTCAGATGAGAAGGAATTGCTATTGAAACAGTTAAAGATGAAGTACAACTTACAGATTAATTCATTAAAGCTCCAAAACAATACCATGAACGAACCTTTATTATCGAAACGAGTTTATAAACAGTAAATATTTCAGATCTTGAAGCAGATTTTCACTACTTTGCATTGCCAAGAAGGTCTGAATTTACCTACACAATGTATGTCGTTTGGTTTTTATTTTAAAATGATGAAAGTCAACAATATCACACCAAAATAGACTATATATTCCTTGTAGTGTAAAAAATCTAACTCAAAATATGACTGGAAAACCGTTCAGATTAGGAACGTAGGTTGTCTAATGTTCTCATTAATTCAAGCTCAATAGGTATCTAAGATTCAAAACAAATTCGTATAGTAGAGAATCGTTGATAGTTTCTCAAAATATTCAATAAGTTTGATTTTGTTTGAATTAGGATACATAATCCAATTTTCATAAAATCTAAGTCCATGCCGGTACTCCTATACTTCCTATACTTCTCACAAACGTTCTTCCCAATATTCCGAAGGCTACCCCCAACTGTTCAAGCATTCAAAACACCCCTTCCACCACCTTTGCTCAGTATGAGGCAGTTATGACACAATACATCAATCTCATATTCTAACAGCCGCGGGGCAAGATTTGAACGGTGGGGCGGGCCAAATTCCTCTTTTCGCTGTTTACGCCTGGAGGCCCAAGTTTAGATGTTTGTTGTTGTTTGGGGCCACGCGCGTTACACCCCCCCCCCCCCCAACCAGCTGCGCTTCCCCTAATTGGGGTTTCGCCCGAACACACCTATCCACCTATCAATGTTCCATTTCTCGAGTTTCTAGTGTGCTTTTGGCGGTAAAAACTCGTGTCCACCCAAACACCGGACAGTTGGTGTGGTCAGGTTACACGCTGTTGACAATGTATCTTTTCTGTTGGGGAGTAATTGGTTTTTTTTCTGTTTGGTGGGGAGTTTTCTAACCGAGGATGAAAGTAAGTTACTCACGAATTCTGTCTATTTATTCGTTTTACCTTTGTTTATTGTGAATGGTCAATTTGAAATTCCATAATTGAAAAAAAATTATATAAAACGTTACCTCGTATATGTCCGGAAATATATATCTTTTGGTAGACTGTCTACTGAAACGTTATGATATATTCACCCGAACTGCATTAACAGTTTCATATAGCATTCCGAAATTTTCTCGACCAATTGACATTCAAACAATGGTTGGTTTTTAAGCAATTGACATTCTTACAAAGTGAATCGAGTAAATTACGAACAATTACAGATTATTATTTTTGAACTTCTATTTGGTACATAGGCGAACCTTTCAACCCCACAATTGGATAAAACTACAAAAATCGTTACTTTGTGCAACTGCCTTGTATAACTTAAACAGTAAACTGGTAAATTCTCCTATGCTGCACATTAATTCTCATCATTCTTATTGTTAACGTTAAAACACCCACGCAAAGAAAACTGTAAAATTCCATCATGATAAGATGGGAACCAATTTCGTGAATTTCCTCGAGATTGTCAGCGATATCATTAAAATATCTCCGTGTGGAGATGTTTAACAAAGTTCGCAGGCCACAGTATTACTTGTTTTTGTAAACAAATGTGTTTTGTTATATTTTAAGTTGGAGGCTAATCCAAATCTGGATAAACAAACAACAGTTTCTGGGTTACTTGCGCTGTGACTTTAGGCCTAAAGGCTGTATTGGAGGCGTCGTCGCAAACGTCGACGTTCTGTCTCGTCAAAGAATTTAGTTTTTTTTAATTAGTAAGAGACGAAAACATTTCTTTTGTACAACGGTTAAGTCCATGTAAGCTAAACTACTACCGGTACCTAAGTGCATTGTGCGTACTTTTACATGCAAATATTCTGTTTTGATTTGTTGTTCAACCGTTGATAAATATTTTAATTGGTTTTACTGTATTATTACCCATGTTTTTCAATTTGGCCGGTTAAATTGATTGAAAACTTTGATGTACACAATTATAAAATTTTCGTGATTCAAAACACGAAGTTGTGCTCAATCATCTGTGGTGTTAATAAATTGTGTTTACATATTTGTTAGTACAACGACGGAACTACGTTTATCATGCCTCTATCTTAGGTGAAAAAAATAATTTGAATTTTTAGTACTGATTGGAATTATTGGTGTTGAAATTTGTGGTTTACGTAAACTACTTTGTTAGCCTATATTTGTCCGTACATCGCTTGATCTTATACAATATTTGACTTCAGAATTAAAAATTCTGGCGGTCAACCTCTAAAACGGCGATGAAAATTCTCCAAGCATTGAGTGGTCTTTCAATACGCACAAATAAGTACTCGTATTGTATTAAGAGCGAACCCACGCGCAAGTTGCGTTGTTCAATATGGTCCAAAACTTGTTTCCGAGGCAAAATGAATCCAGTGCAATTTCCATTTACCTTTTCGAGATTATGTTTGTTTAGAACAGTTATTAGGTGAACAGAACTACTAATTTAAAATAAATTTGTTGATTTTTTTATCTACACTACAAAGAGTGATATACCTACCTCAATCACAGTTGTCAAAAAAGTGTCCTATTTAAAATACGTTGTCATAAATTGTTTCGTTCCTTTTTACAATCTGACTGTGGTTAAACATTCAACTTCTTAAAGATCAGTAGGCCTAATTGTACAACAATTTTTATTTCATCCGTTATAAAGAAAGTTGATCAGCATAACTGGATCTTTGAAAATACACTCTAGAAAGAAATTAAACGTGAGGGGGCGAAGCCCTAAAAGAAATTGATTTTTTAACTACCATTCGTAGCTTTAAAATAACACCTCAATCGTGAAAACCGGTTAAGTATGACTATGATTTTATTTGATTTTATAATCACTGTTTGTAGCCAATGTTTTTTGGAATAAACTATATATTCATTCATTCATTTATTAAGTTTATATGATTGTTGTAACTACCATCACTACCTCCTTGTATATTTCACAATAACTACGGACAGAACAAATTATCTAAAAAGTAATTGCGACCCCTTATGACAATTTCGTACCCCACAAAAGATTCAAAAATCCGGTCAAACATTTGAGTAGTAAAAAAATCTGCTGAAACCACGTTAATTCACCATACAATCGTTGACTCGTACCATCCCTCTGTAGTCCGTACTACCGTGACGGACCTGGAATGCAGGTAGGACACTACTCTCACCTTGTAAAGCAGTTTTTGCCAGTGGCGCATGCACACGCATAATGTGTTGGTGTGTTGTAGTTGCAACCCTGATGGGGAGCTGGCATTTCCTTCGTTCGGCTCAGCGTGCGGCTCCGGCCCGGGACCCGGCATGGCCTCATACCTCAAGAGTGCCGGACCCTACGGCGTCAACGGCATCGGACTGGCTATGGACTCCCTGCACTCCTCCATGGGATATCCTCCAGGTATTGTATAAAGTGAGGGATGTGTGGGGAAAGTGTGTTAAGGTTAAATGCTGAAGAGGTTCTGGAATAAAAATTCAAGAATTTGAACACTGAAATGTCAAATTTTAGACATTTTGTATTTTATTGTTTATCCCACGAGATAGGAGCATTCTTCAATACCATTTCGTTTCACAAAAATACATAGTGCTCAAAAGGTTCTAGATTGAAAATATGATAATGCTATTTATGTTTGTTTTTTAGATACATTTGGGTATGTATTGTACCTTCCAATCATTGGGATAGGGACAAAAGTGCATCCTTCAAAGATATACCCTTAAAAAAAAATATTTTTTTCATATTATATTTTTTTTGCATATGTATTGTCCATGCTAAGTATTTGCCTAGTATTTGCTGAGTAAAGTCAAAAAGCGTATCATTCAACAATATGCCTCTTAAAATATCTATGACCATAACTTGTGTCAGACAATGAAGCTACACAAATAATGTTTTAAGATATGTAAGACCTTTTAGAACGGGAAGCAATTATTGCCTCATTAAAATTATGTATAGAGATATATCTAGTTTGGAATCTACAGGCCAATATACTAATACACATAGTTCTGATGAGCACATCAGAAATATGTTTAAATTCAATTTTGCATCTGCAAAACACTCGTTTCTACAATGATGATGTAAACTTAACAGTCAATGTCCATACTCGTAGTACAAAATGGTATGTACAAGTTTCCTTGTCGACCAAAGATTGCGAATAAGTATCGTAAAAACTATACATATTGAAAATCTATGTATAAAGAATTATACTTCTGTGTACTCTTTGATCACAAGTCTACTCACAGCGACGTTTGGTGCACTGTACAGTCATGTACAGTTGTGTACAGTCGTGTACAGCACGTGTTGACAAGTGCACAGTCAATTAGACGTGATTGTGTGTCAACACGGGGTCCAGACCGGAGACCACGGAAGTACAGTTGGTGAGACACGGTCAACACTGGGAGGTCCCCTCAACCCTCTAATCAACAATCCAACCACCCGAGGCTAACTCGATAAACTGCGAGACTATTAACACCTTCGTGTCAAGTATATAGACCAAAGATTGCCAATAGCGTGAAAACTGTGATTGATAATCGATGTATCAAGAATTTCTGTGACTTTCAGAGTACAAGGTTATTTGATTGAACTTGAGACGTATTTTTTCCATTCGAAGGCACCAAATTACTGTTGGAATACAGGCGCTTCACAATATTACAGCGTACCTACGACCCAGAAAACTACCTTTAGCAAAATCGAAAGTTAGAATTTGCATTTGAAGGAACTACCATCGTATAGCATTAGGTCACTCACCAATAGGTCCCAATCTTGAGGAAACGTCTTTACTATTCCAAACTGTGGCACGGAATCTGTATTGGGCTACAGACGCCTCATAACAAAAGAGATAACCGATGACAATAGAAAAAGACATACAAAACCTAAAGGTCTTGGACAAAATTATACTTAGAAGGCTGAGGAGTATAGTCCTTGAACAGTCTCATCAGAGTCATCGTCCACTGAAACATTACGGTGACGGCAAACTTTTCGAATTTAAAGGCAATCTAACCTGCTTTTAGAGGGAATTTTTCAATTTTACTTGACACTATAAGAGTTTCTTATCGAATCCACCAGAGAGTTGTCACAAAAAGTGCAATGTTTGTAGGAAACCCCCGCAAGCAGCGGCGAGAGAGGACGACGTTCACGAGAGCACAGCTTGACATCCTGGAGGCACTGTTCTCCAAGACGAGGTACCCGGACATCTTCATGCGAGAGGAAGTGGCTCTCAAGATCAACCTTCCGGAGTCAAGAGTGCAGGTGAGCCGCTAGTACTTCAGCCAATAAGTTATATGATGCTAGACGATGATCAACGTGGATAAGGGAGAAAAGGTTGATTAAGTATTTAAGGTTCGGTTAGGTGACCAGTTTGAGTTTAGTTTGCTAATAAATAGATTTCGGCTAGACAGTGATTTTTTTACCATAAACAGAGGCTACTTGCATCTATAGAGTTTTACCATTAAGAAAGTTTTTGACTTTGGCTGTGATTTTGTTAGGGCTGCACTACGCAAAACGAGAAGTTCACACATAACTTAACTAGTGTTAATATTTCGTGTCGTTGACGTTCTTTGGGATAGTCAAAACAGGAGTTGCAGCAAAATTAGACAAGATCCATCGCATATCTAAGAAAGTTCCATCAATATGCTTAAGGAGAAATTGATTCGTAGGTATGGAAAATGGATGATATATGTTTGGTACTGTTTGGTGTAGGCGTAGTCCAGAGAGAACAGAATAGGCGTAGTCCCTACTATACTCACTTATAAATGTATCATTCTTATCGAAAGGCTGAAGACTATTTCAGGGTTAGTTTTGTTCAGTTTATTTATAGAGAGTTTTTGGTGCCTATTTATTTTCTTCTTACTTAACCAATTTTAAAATGGTTTCAAATAAATTCAACACGATATTCGTCAACTATTGTCTGTCCTCTATAATTACAGCTAAAATCGAAAAAATGTCCTAAAACAAAATAAAAACTATTTAGTCAACTTCTCCCTCAATATTATCATGGGACACAAATAAAAATGGTTTTAAAATTTAAAACAAAACGATAAGTCTTCTTACGTGCTTACACTATTCAAAATCAGTGGTCCTATTCAATAAAAAGCATAATGGCAGAAGGATGATATAATGTCGACGAAGTGGTTTATCTAATTTACTAGCTTAATTAAAAATCTCGATCAAATGGTTTGTTGGTCAAATGCTGCATCCTGAAGTTGAATAATTATAAAATAGCAACGAAAGATACAGTTAGTAAATTGTGACATAAATAATAATACAAAACTGAAGTGAATGGTTGACGAGAAGTCTGGTGGTCTCCTGACGGTTGTCACCTCGGAAAATCACTACAACAAATCACTCCTTCTACTATATGCTGTATCCAGCATCTTCATCTAAATGTCGGTCAACTGGCTTGTCGAGCAATTTACACGTCGGTCAAGTTGTACCCTCCCCCAAATAAACGTAAACTAGCAACGAGAGATGGGCGAATTGGGACATAACACCATGCTCACACTCGTCTAAATGTCGGTCAACTGGCTTGTCGAGCAATTTACCCGTCGGTCAAATTGTACTCTCCCTCAAATAAACCTAAACTAGCAACGAGAGATGAGCGAATTGGGACATAAAACCATCACCCTCGAAGCACAACGAGCAGTCGGACTGTTGTCACCTATGATAAGGTCACCCTACAAATCACCCCTTGTTATCTGCTATCAGCTGTCTCCAGCCCCTCCCCCGTCATGTTTTATATCTCTTCAATTATTGCTATAAGTCTGATCCGCTTACGGGCGGTCAACATACATATTCATGATTCTTATTGAAACGTCCCATTCGTATGCATTGGAAACAGTTGGTTTGATAATTGGGTGAGCACGGTGTCGAATAGGGTAGTATAAAATACCGCTGATTTGTTGATGCTTTTTGCAAACAGTTTTCAATTTGTATCCTCCGATAGTTTTATTGTGGTCACATAAGGCCGTCGACACACGGGAAGACTGTTTTTCAACTGAAATCGGCAACTAGTTGGACAAACTAGTCGCCTGCGTCCCGACCAATGTAGTTCACTTTTTTGACGATTGTTTTTTTTTCGAAACTGAATGTTGTTTACAACTAGTGTATATTTTTTATCTTGAGAATATACAATTTTATTCAGGGGCAAAGAAGTGAGCTTTGTATAAGGAAGTTTCTCATATATTTTACTTTCATATTTGCATGTGCATTTCGAATGGAGGAGCCACAAATCACTTTGGGAAAGGGGTCCAAACCAAACTTTATTTGTGTATGTCGGGGATCGACTCTGTCCCCTCTGACACCGAAGTTCAAGAAGCTAACCACTAGTCCACTAGGCTAGCAACACACCTAAAGATTTTACATTCTTCAAGCTTATCGGTGTCGATTTGGTTTTAATAGCAACTATCATAACAGATGTTCACGTTGTTGTTAAGTAATGTAGGGAATCAAACTTACTAGCCAGTCAGACAATTTTTTATTCATATTTTTAAGTATACATTACATCCCCCCAAATGTTGGCAATGTATAAATGAAAATGAAAAATATAGTAAAAAAACCAACTGTAAAGAAATATATTTGTGATATACTTATTAAGCAAAATAAATGCAATAATAGTTTTTAAAGTGTGTACGTAAACAAATAAAGACTGGATTTTCCTGTTTGACTAAATGTCATTTAGGCTATACAGTTTTCATACAATAATTGAGTGACGAAATAAATAAAATAAATATAATTAATAACGAACATTTTTACAGCATACTTAACGTATTCAACTTGGTTACAAAGCCTTAGATTTATCATATAACTCGGAATCTATCGATTATATAACCAGTTAACTACTGACTGGAAATCAAAATATCTAACTATTGAAAACTACAAACTTCTTGAATGAAAACCGAAACATCCAACTACTGAAAATTACAAACTTCTTGACTGAAAACCGAAACATCCAACTACTGAAAACTGCAAACTTCTTGACTGAAAACCGTAACATCCAACTACTGAAAACTGCAAACTTCTTGACTGATAACCGAAACATCCAACTACTGAAAACTACAAACTTCTTGACTGAAAACCGTAACATCCAACTACTGAAAACTACAAACTTCTTTACACACTATGATTATACAATTTGTTTCCGACCTTTATATACTGTGACTGGAAATTATCGATTTTATGCTACCAGTTAATTAAATTTCTGGCATTAAGGGCTGAGAACTAACACCATTCCGTATTATCAGATTGATTAGTACACTGCCAAGGGACATGTGTACTTGCATAAATAATTAATTACTCAATTATAATTAATCTATTGGCACGACAAGCTGTAATACTGGATCGGATAAACCGTGGATAATGCAATTGAGAGGAAATTAGTATAACAATTAATACACATTACATATAAAAGGATTATAGAAACAGGATCAAACCTTTGTTTAAACACTGATGCAATTATTAATTTGACTTTACATTTACCTTTGCAATAATAGCAGAGTTAAATGTAACTAGTTGAACTACAATACGCTAAATCGAGATTTTATGCAATTGTTGTAAGGAATGACAGCGACTTGCATTAAAGCCTATAAAGTTAATACTGTAGCATCAATTTGTGTTTCTGTATTATAGTGTTGTATTGGTACTAGGGGGCTCTTGGCACTGACCCGTGGTTACGTAAAGTCCATACAAATTTAATTTCGACTACATGTAATATCAATATAAATTATGATACAACGATTACTAAAATCCGTTTATGGTCCAACGTATTAAAATTATTCACAATAAAACTGTATTTTGTTTGTGCCTTTTTCTTAAAGTCAGATTTCAAAAATTAATTCACCTCTTGCACAAAACAACTGGATACTACCAATGGTAAATTTTCCAATCTCATACTAAATCTAGTCAGTTTTAAAATAAATATTTAAGTAGTGAACTAAGCAGCCGAAAACATTATAATCTTTTAAATATAAATATTAATCTTGTAGTGATAAAGATTATTACTAATAAGCAGCCGATGTACAAAGAAAATAATGCCAATTTACACATTTATGTCGAATACACACTTTCAACCAAGCCATATTAAAAAGCATCCTTTGTGCCTTTAATACCATGTTACATCACAGGAACAAAAACTAAGGAAGAAGTTTCCCACTCTTTGAAATGGCTAATTCAACTATGTTTTTTATAACCATTAAAGTAGTCAAAGAAATAACAAATTGGCTATAGTTGGTCAATATAGATATGGAATGTTCAAGTATCCAAAATTCAATTATTGTACACTAGTTGCTGTACTAGTTCTAGATGAAACAATGATTACACCAGTGCCCAAACTAAGCCAAAACCCAAAGGCCCGACCAGCCAGTCCTGCTGGCGGAACCCTTTATGACATTGTACGGCGGCTATCATTCACTCTGGGCTTTACACAAAGTCATTATGTTAGGGAGAGGATATGATCCAACAGCGTGAATGAAGCGTCACGTAGCTTCTGGAGGCTAACACCAGGTGTCACGTGACCCAGCCATTGCCACGGCTGACTAGATATCATGGCTGCCGCGCTTTGTGTATATATAAAAGTGATAATTTGGTTACGTTAGGTTTTTTGAAATTCTGAATTGATCTGTCATTGGGCCCAAAGAAAAGGGTGATTGTAACTATGGGGAGTTCAACATCTAAGTTTGATCATTTTCTCTTTGAAAGAGGGAGACGTCATAATTTGTTCTTTTATATATATCATGTTGCATTTATGTTATTCACCCACTGTTATTCACCATACTGTACTATTGTTGTTGTACTTGGACTATACTAAGTTTGAACTGTACTGTAACTGGTCGACCTAGATTAAGTGTCTCGGCCACTTTGAATAAGCCCTTGCCATCGTTAACATGTTCATCATTACGAACCTCGACCTGACCCATATAACATACAATACGATAAAATGTTTGTGAATTCCGGAAGGTTAAAACGTAAATGGTAGCTGAATGGCACGTTTACCTTTTGGGGGTAAAATGTGGTAACAATTTAGTAAACTCTGAAAAGGCGAGATGGGGATGGAAGAAAATTAATTTATAAGTTGTTATGATTAGTTGTTTGAATATGACAAAGATGTAGTAAGCTCCGAAGATTTAAAAATCTATTATCTATACTTATTTAATACGCAAGCAGATTTTTTGTGACAATTACTCCTCCGAAACTACTGAACCAATTGTCATGTTTTTGGTGTCATTGGAAAGAGCGTAACGTGAAGTTGTGCAGGA